AAATAGTGCGACACCTCTAGTAACTGTTGCACTCACTTGCTAGCGATAAAGCTGTTTTGTTACTATTGGAATGTCTTTTTCTAGATGAAACGTGCCATTCGAAATAGTGCGAGAACCCCCGTGACTGTTGCAATCATTTGCTAGCAATAAAGCTGTTTTGTTCCTATTGGAGAGCCTTTTTCTGACACCAAGCCTCTGGGGCGGAAGACAGAAGTTAGACATAACAAATATGCTATGTTTCTAGCTGACAGATTTGTTCACTAAAAATGAGACAGTATTCTGAGATCTGGCTACACGTTGCAGGTGGTAGCTCTGAGTGTTATCCTGTACACACACAGGTGTGATGGCACATTGGTTATAGACCCAGGCCTAAAGGACTACTGCCGGGTATGACATGCCGTGCCTACAGATAAACTAACGACCATGCGCTGATGGTGGTAGTGTGTAGCTGTACCGTGCATGAAAACAAAGCTAACTCGTCCTAAGAAAGCTTATTTCTGGGCAACGTTTCGTTTTTGACACACAAAAATTCATCAGCCCTGGTTGGACTACTGCCGGGTATGACATGCCGTGCCCACAGATAAACTAACGACCACTCGCTGATGGTGTTAGTGTGTAGCTGCACCGTGCACGAAAACAAAGCTAACTCGTCCTAAGAAAGTTTATTTCTGAGCAACGTTTGGTTTTTGATACAACAAATTCATCAGCCCTGGTCGCAAGGCCTTTCGAGAGAATAATACACCTGAATTGGTCAGTACAAGATAAGAATAAGTAAACCACAAAAGATGCAGGTGAATATCGGGCGACAGTCAAAAACTCGGTAATGGCGGAGGGTGCACTGGAAGCAGAATAGATCACAAAAGGGATGCTGCAGTCCACACGACAGTGGCTGATGACCGAGGAGGTGAAAATCGCTAAGCATCCCAGTCTCAAGGGAAGAGAGGGCTCATGTCTGGTGAACATAGGGATGGCGGGTTAAGGTAAGCCAAGTTAACACGGCGGTTGCTGGTTAGATATAATCTTTAGCACAAATGATAGAACACCTAACCCGACCAGAATGCACGTAATTCATCCCTCATACTCAACTGGCGTAGAACTGGTCCTCCCACATAGTTGGACAACACTGTGGACGTTACTGGAAAGGAATCTTCGCATGAAGTGAATCAGAACAACCAGACATGAAGCTTTTCGGCTTCGTCCATCGACCTTAACACTTTCTGACCTGCACCTACAAGTAAAACCTCCTAGCCGATACCTAACACTACTTGGGTTATCAGAAGGAATAGATCCTTCTGATTGGCTCTCCCATCCTAAAATTCCACAAACCTTGCAACCTAGTCATTTGGCCTGATGAAGCTCGTGCACCAAAAGTAGAACGATGCCCAGCACGGTTCTCACACTTTTCTGTGATGATGATGTGAACCGACGGAACGGGAGGTCTTTTAGAGTATAGAATGACTCAGGCACGGGTACTGGAGCTCGCACCGCGATTTACCTAATGAGAAGTTCCATTGCAGTAATTCTAACTGAACTGTGTGGAAAAATTCTCATTCCGAGAGGACCTCAAGTTTTACCTGACATACACTAGATAAACCTAACGTGGGATATCAGCATGGTGCACACCTGCTTGTGGATCTTACTAGTCAGTAGAACCGCTTACTTGATGGTCCAAAAATCACCCAGTAATGTAAAATAACTATTTATACGGCATCTTCCATTTCACGGGGGTGAAAGGTAGACGCAACTGAGTGCGACGTTCTGATTGAACATCCAGGGTTTTGTTGCTGGAAATTCTTCAAGAACACATTAGGGCTCATCAGGTAGGCGTAATCCCCACACCGCTATAAGCCTCACGTTCTGTTTGAATCATATGATTTCGCTTCAACGTGGTCAGGAACGTCTTAATCTGGTGTTTTGGAGGGAAAACTTAGATAACTTCACGCACTTCGTCACTCTGTGATACGGACAAAAAGCATTAGCCCGAGTTTATGGACGATTCGGGCGCTGATAACAAGTTACTACGCTTCCAAATACGGCTTCATTTGCTCCTACACCAGACCGTACCCCAAAACCACCAAATCGTTTGCCTAAATGGACGTTTTGTCGTTTAATTCTACTTGACTTCCAGTTACTTTTTTGTCGTTGATACGTCCCACAACTTCACTAAAACACGCATAAAATAAAATTTTAGGATGATCTGAAAAATCCTACGTTGCTTTGATAAAAACATTAAGATAACTGAGCGTCAACTTAAGACTTCCTGAACAATGTATGATTTTTCCGGCCCCTGAAATACCTGAACGTCCAGTGATCTTAAGATCTCTATCGAGATTTTATGAACCATGTCAAGACGGAAAAGACACTGCTACCTAACCATAACATTAAACTGGACAAAAGATATCTCTTGCTGAAAATCTGCTGTTCGTTTTTGCCGAGTGTATACAAGCTCTTAGTTCGGTCATACACCCCAAACCGTTTAAATCAGCCCTGATATTCAACTTTTCACTCTTTGGGTATCTGGTGGTCCTGATGCAACGGCTCGCGGTACCCACGGAGCTCCAGATACACTCAGCCCAAGACCAAAAGCGCTCTGTTGGAATTAAATTTCAGTAAGCAATCACCTTTGCGCCGTATGGTCACCTGGTTCAATTAACGTGGGTGTGACTCGGTAAGGTGAAAGAAGTTTGATCGCGTCAGCATACATTTCACCAGACCGCACTTATGAAGCTGAGAAATTTGGATCCTATCGGGGTCTTCCACAGCTCCTTCGGCTAACATGGACGGATATCGTCATTCTGGCGTATGCTATGAACGCCAAAGTTTGATGGCTATTCATCATCGTCATAGGCACATCAGTAATGGAAACCGATGCTGGTCACCTGACTCACCGACACGTCCTGGGAACATAGACCAGCTCTGTTCTTTTGTTGTAGTACAGTACTATTGTTCCAGGAGTGAAGAACGACGATTAATATAACCACACCGATCGGTCACGTGCTTTTGCAAACCCAGCTTTACAACTAACAATTTCAGACAAAACTTGAAAAATCTAGCCGAAACACCAAAACAAGATTTTCTCTTGCGTGCAGCGCTTTACTCGGTACGATAGGTAAGGATATTGGGACAATCCTACTGAGGCTGTTTTACTCCACGACACAGATATTTTTATGTCAAAGACGTCCAAAGACGTAGACATTCTGTTTTTCAAGCATTTCTTCACAGGGCTTTTGCACTACACTGGAGCACGATTCATTCAGATTTGTCTACCACTTAGGTACCGATATTTCCTGTTGACGTATTACCACCCATGAAGGCCATGCTGAAACAGCCATCGGACCAGTACGAAGATGACTCTGAACATACTAGGCAGAACGGAAGACGGTCCTCGTTACATCTGGTTGATGATCGGTCATCCTTAACTATAGATAATGCTACGAAAAATGAAGAGGAGTAGGAACCGACAACCCCGACCAAGCCAAACTTAGTGGACGGTGTTCACTTTGCGTAAATGTTCTCGTATATATTCAGAGTTATCCGGGCATCCACGCATGAGTTCACGATCATGGTCGGTCAGTTGTGAACGTGGTGAGCCGCATCGTTCTGGGCTAGTACCAGTAACATTCCATGGAGTTCACACCGAGCCTCATGAAGCTGATAACGCGCCACGTTCGCCTTAACACAAATTGCTACAAATCACTGTATATATTGAGACAGTTTGATCCAGACCGCAGTGTATATGCGAAGACTAAAAATCAACCACCCGTACTTCACGGCGACTGACGACCAAACTTAGTTCGATTTTCAATATTCATGTTGAGCCGCTTTAACACAAAAAGGTTTAGGGATGGGATATTTGAAATAAAAAGTCTTCGACGTGTTTGTGAGAATGTCCACTTTAGACGGAAAATAAAAAAGGAAATGTCAATTCACGATAATACGCCCTGTATATGTGCACACACATATTCACACTAAGCACATCATATACCCGGAGTGCTTGTGCAGCATATGTGCTTGGCCGGTAGCACCTGGTAGGGTGGAGTAACACGCCTTTGAAGAGGGCATCTGAAACTATGGACGAAATATAGCCTCATCTGAGAGCGCCTTAATCATGAAAAATGGTTGCCGGGTAAAAAAATAACCTTTTTCGGAAACCTGTACCTCACAGACGGTCAGGAGATGCACTATCGTCCGAGAGAAGTCCCATATTTCATGGGCTACTGGCGTTAAGTTTCGTTCCAACGCTCACGAAAGGAGAAGTTTTTCGGTGTGATCATAAAAGAATTTCGAAAAAGATAAAAGTAACCCTACTTGACTGTTAAGCCAAAATAATCAGGCATTTTTACGAGGATGAATCCATCGATGGGGAAGAGTTTGGCTGCTGGTTAAGAGACAGTAATGACAACTAAGGTCGATTCACTTCTTGCCAGGATGATCCAACTGTACATAGCACGACAATGATGGAGGAATTTCAAGAAAAGTCGAAAACTAATCATTTGAAGCTGATCAAGGTGAAAAGTGTTCGGAATCTGTTTAAAAACAAACATCTTTGAAATTGGTCATTGAAACTGGCAATGGAACTGGTCTTGTGTTCCACTTGAATTGTGAGTGCCTTATCGGTGAACTTCGATTCCTCGGCTATATAAGTGGTAAATCAGAACAGATTACCTTGATGAGACCCAGACATTGTCCCTCAGTTGGAAAACTAGTCCAAAAGTTAGTGAAACGGAGCATGAGTCTTGACATATCGGGTGTCGGAAGCTACAATCCCCGCACGACCAAGGAATTATACTGCTATAGTAAAAATGTGCAAAAGGAGCCCAGTGCTGCTAGCTTTGGTATGGGACAACCGAAACAAGGGTGAGGTTAACACAAACCCCACAACTATCTCCAAGAAGACGTATTGATGATGTCATTCGGACTGACAACCAAACTGGTGCAATAAAACTGTGAATCTCAGTAAACAATTCAGCCGCTAGAATTGTCCAAGTTTGTACACTCACCGTTCCAGTATAAACCGCCAGACGTAAAATGCACACGACCCACCGAGTACCAGGGTGGTGAATATGGTCGATATCCCAAAGCATAAACTGATCGGTAGAATGGTTGCACTAGAAACATGAGCGAGGTAAGTAGCAAAAGGAAAAACGAAACTCACATTGCGTAGAAAATGAGGCGTTGAAGGGAAGACAGCTTCTCTCCCAGGACACTGACACGATTAAGCTGAGGAACCATGGCACAACACAAGGGTGCCTCCGCAGTCATAACAACTATGCTGATCAGACTGTTGAGAATAGGTTGAGAGGGAACATATGGGAAACGGACTTGAGAAACTATCAATCTCATCAGAAGAGTTACTCAGGTAAAAGTACAACGAGCAATAAGATGACTTCAATTACGAACACAATGTGGTGTCGCTTTGGGGTGGGAGAAAAGGGATAATCGAAAGCCTATCGTAGCAAAAGCCATGTAGTTAGTTCCCCGGATAAATCAGTCACACAAGACCTTTCGATCTTGTCAGGGCATAAGTGGAAGATGCGAGGAAATCGAGTATGGGACTGTCTGGATATCAAGTACACATTGAGATCCACATATTTGTCACCCCCTTTGTACCGCACAGGGAGAACAAACGAAAAAGAAAATATTGCTCGGATATGAGTATCACAGGAGTTTTGGTCGGGTACAGCTGCAAGTTTGTTGTGGGCGTGCATCCTGGTTTGATGGCGTCAGTGAACGGGGGCAGTGAACAGGCAATAGAATAGAGGCCAACTCCACAATGTTTACCACGATATCCGAATTTGTTGCAATACCATTATGCTCAGACTACCTGTCCCTCAACCGGGCTCTTAGTGTTTTTCCCCCGACTGTAATTTAAATGTAATGTAAATTTACATTTGATTCGATTTGACTTCACCACACCGCTATGAGGGTGTTGCATTGAATTAAATGGCCGGAATGCGTCCTTTAAGTATAAGGTTGACATGACAGTGCTGAACTCGAGGTGATACAGTACAAGCAGCCGACGTCCAAGCTTGAAGGGGAAGTCGGATATGCGTAACTGGATGCTGGTGATTACAATCACACTGTGGTTGACAGCAACCGTAAACCACACTGCATCAACAAAGGTCAAAAGTGTCCAATAATTGGTCCACCAACATAAAATGCGTCAGGTATATTCAACCATATAAATATGCTTCGACGCTGCATGTGCGTAGTTAGTGTCCTATGAGACCATGGTGCTAACAGCGAGAATAAAGTATGAACCCACATACGAAATTCTTCAGTCCCAAAATCTCATCCATCAAAACTGTCATATTTGTTGTACTTCACAAAACAAGATACCACAAATATCCCAACCACTAGCATGAAAAACCTGCATCTAGCGTTCCCAGGCCTAAATCAATTGCTGGAAGAAGAACTTCAAAAGGTCCATATGGGCTGCAGCCAGGATGTGTTGATTATTCGCGAGATCACTCGTTGAATGAGGTGGCCTTGCTCCACTGAAAAATAAGCACCAATAAGTACACATCCGTTCACAAAGCACTGATGATGTCAACTCGACTGATGGTGAAGTGTTTGCATCCAAATTATCTAGCTCAACTGGCGAACCAACGGCCATCGTTACAACAGGAGTTATAAGTGTATTCTTCAGTTGCAAAGTTAAACTAACTTAAATTGAGTGTGCCTCAGTGAAGGACGCCATTCGAAACTATCACACACAAATCAAAGACGATGAAAACTGATCAGTGCCTTGTGGTTGTGGCGCATTCAGTCTTCTTCCTTGCGGCCCCACATGTTAAAAAGCGATATATTACGGAAATGAGTAAAAACTGTCTCATGTTTCCGTTGGAAAACAAGCATCCGGTTTTGAGGAACGATTGGCCGTAAATATACTTTGCAAAAAGTGTTTCACTACCGAGAGAGTTCGCATATTGACAGTATGCACAGTTTCCAAGAGATGTTCTTCTTCACACATCTGTCTGGTATTCCGCAGAGATATCATCTCAGAAGGAAAGTGCAGTAAGGCGGCGGGACAAACAACGGTCGGAAAGATCTTGTGACCCCAAGCCTACAATTCGAAGTTACGTATTTTCTGCCGTGACAAGTTGGTAACGGGACTTCCGTGAAGGGATTCGATCGTACCAGGGAGATCAAACAGAGCTGCAGAGTGATGTGTTTTGGGGTTCGTATTAGTTGCACTTGCAAAATGCCAAAGTACTCTAACCGATTCCCGAAATTCAGCTAGTCTACTCATTCTCAAGTGGGTCTGTAGACCTCCGTGCATGAAATATGCCATCCCACAAATGTAGAATATATCGTTGACATCAAGACTCTGAGTTGGGAATACCAAGCAAAATATAGAGAAGGGATTCCATAGGCACAATTTGCTTTCTGGTGACCCCACTCCCAGAAAAACCTATTCTGTGGGTTTCTTACAGCAGTCTTTTTCCGAACAGAATCTACTCCTCGAAAAAGTAATGAAAAACAGGGCTTTGCAGGGCACTTTGCAGGTTATGATGTACATTCTACCTTCTCAAGACGCTGACTAGACGAGAGGATAGCGCCACGAGTCCGTTATCCCTATAAAGTATCCTGAAGAACGTTGTCACAGCTTGCACGCCACCAAGAATGACTCTACCACAAATGGACGTCAACTGTCGATCGTCACTAAAAGGTAAACCTCTCCTGCCAGAGGAACAGAGAGAACCAGACATTCATTCGAAAGTGATACAAGCACCTCATAGGACGCCCCGGATGCGGCTCAATACATTCAAGATCATACGCGAGTACTCGAGAGAAAGGTCAATGAATGAAAAATAGCCAACTGTGAAAATAACCGGGCGAAATGATGAAACTAATGCGCGGTGAGTTAAACATTCGCCTAGGCAAAAAATAAGTCCCCAATTTCAATCAACCAGTCCGAATCGAATTCCCAAAAGAATCTATTCGTTGGTACCCATCTTGAAGTACGGTAATAAACACGAAGCTGATTCCCCAGCATGGCTTCAGAAGACAAGTAGGTGTGCACAGATAGACAGTACTAAGTGATCTCTCGGCCTATCACGTGGTAGCTGGTTACAGTAGTAAGAGAAACAACAGCGTAAACTTGTGACTTACATCAAAAGGATCCCGCTGATTATACAGCTCACAGTAATGGAAATCATCGTTGTAATGCCACAGATGAAACACACTGGGAAAAAGGTACGGTTGAATCGGGACAGTTAAAAGAATACCGATTGAAGTAATGACTCCTATTACTTTTGGAGCATGCCGAAGATACCACGGTTGTGCATCCATTCTTATGGGGATTAAAGGGAAATGCTATGTTTGATCACTGTTGACTGGGCAGTAATGCTGCAGTCTGCACACCAACGTGAAGCAGGGTGGTAGTCGTCAGATAGGCAGTGCACTATACGAAGTGCTGAATCTGGAAATAAAATGAACAGAATGACGAGCATCCACGTTAAGCACCTGAAGAACATGTAACAAACGTTTTTTTCAAACGGAGTTATGGTCGTCTCGAGATCTGCAAGAGTACTTATATAATTGTATGTTTCGTATCCGACAAAAGTTGCGCAAGTATTGTCACCATAGACAACAAAGCCAGTGTTTCGATTGGTGCTTCACTCACTTAAAGTTGCGGGACGAAATCTTTGAGGTGTTCGACCATAGTTCCAATTGCGCGGTAGTCTCCTGAGATTCCAAATCAGATGGTTTACAGAAGCACCAGAACGGAAGGGAATAATTTGCAAAACCAATGAGCGAAACACGACCCAATAGTTTGTGCTCAAAGGCATGCATCAGTTATTTCCTCGTGCTCCAAGGCAGGGTACAATACCGGTCAGCAAGGATCTTCACGGTAACTAACTGTTTCCTGCTGTGTTCTTGACCGTTGACTCTTCATTCTGATATGCCCGGTCCGAGCAAGCAGAAAATCTTCGGTTCTCGCGCTCAACGTATCCCCTTCAAAAGGAGAATACATGGATTACTAGAGCATGTATTGGACAAGTACTGAATAGTGAAGTCATGTCTGTGTGTTCCGGAAGTGACATACTAACAATCAGCGCGCGCTGAATAAGCAGCGGGTTATTGATCCATTCGACATCTAACAGGGAAATCAAACGATGCAACGCTGAACACTCCCGTTAGTGTTACAGGCGTTCATTTCTCTAGGTTGCGGGTCGAAATTGTTCCTTAAAACCGATCATTTCGGTTAGTTCAGTTTAAAAAGGCGACATACACCAGTGTAGGCGCGGTACTTTGTTAGTTCACATGCCTCGTCTCAAAGTCATGCGTTTTCCACCTTGTGACATCGTCCAGTCGGGACCTATCTCAGCAAACAGGGCACGACATACACAGAGCACATAGCTGGACAAGCGTAACTGATCCAACCGAATCAGCTCATTGGTTAGGCAAGCATCCCATAAGGCATTCGTCACACTTCAGCGATGCTAATTCGATGTACGATGCTTCGAAGGTACGGATGGTCAAAGATAAGTGACAACTTCTTGTCTTCAACACAGTGATCAGGCTTTGCAACCACAAAGCAAAACTGGGCGTACTGCGGAGTTCTAGGCCCTGCTAGTCACCGATACAAGGGATGCCTAAGTTGAAGAAAAGCAGAATGAACTTTACCGATCCCAACCTTCACTTCGCCGAAAGAGCCTGCATCCGACGTGAAACAACTATCTTGATAGGTAAATCTGCCTACCACCTGCAATAACGGTAATTTCTCAGATTAGTTCTAGGTTTGAATCTTCCAAGCTAGCATTCCTGTCAATGTAATCATCAAAGATACACAGCGTGCATTGCTACCCGAAACCAGGTCAACAACGCATGCACAGCGCATCTTTTATAAAGTACACGCGACGACAACACTCTAGAAACTCTGGCGTGTCGGAAGAACTAAAAAATGATTGCGATCGATAGTTCTGACATTTTTTGAAAACAAGATCGACATCAGATATCTGTCATTCCTTTGGCAACTCGCTCGGCTTCTAAATGTCCTATATGAGTTTTGTCAGATTTAGAACTGGTTCTTCTCCATTCTTGAACAATGAATTCTCGTTTCTGAGACACAGCACACATCAATGCCAAGCGAGTCCAGCGTGAGTGCAAGAGCAGCTTGTTGTCCTGCTTGCCTCAGAGTGCGGACTTTGAACGCGGCCAGATAGAGTGGGTGTCGAGGCTTGAGGACTGATTTGAAGATTCCTGAAGATGTCGGCACCACGTGACGAGCAGATGCTGTACGCAAAACCGATGCATGACGAAAGGAGTCATCAGTCCTAAGTGCTGGGTCTACAAGGAGAGAGTCATTAATGGGGTGGGGAGGGGGGGGGAACAAAAAGTATGTGAAGGAGAAAGAAGGGAGGCGTCAGCAGTAGCCTGTTTTCGCTT